GTTATTTCTTTTAATTTTATTAGGAATGAAAATGGTCACAATAAGCCTGTTACCCACCTGATCCACCATATGTACTAATACCTACTATAAATGTGAGAATACCTCTGTCATGGCTATCTTTCACGTTTTCAGGTTTAAGTCAATCAAGTTTGATGAATTTCAGTACAAAAATATAAGGGATGTGACAAAAAGTAGAAGGACATATGTCTTTATAGGAAAAATATAACTAGACTGATGTGGAATAGGGGATAAAAAAATTTAGCCCAACTTAAAAACCACTTTATGTTCGGCTAAAAGGCTTCAAAAGAAGAGTAAAAATTACCAAACGAAAATACAGGAACAGGAAATACAGGACTAACAAACTTATAAAATACTATCAGTATTCGTAATTCTCTTCAAAATGGAAACAAAATGTCCAAGAAAGGCTAGTCCATCCAAGCAAGTTATCGTATAAACATCACATAAGTACGCAGACGAAGTTTCCGAGACCAAAATGTTGTCTTAAGACGCTTGAGACATAATGAATGTAACATACCTGTAAACTCACGCGTTGTCTACTGTAACTCTATCCTGACCTAAAGTAATTCTAACAACTCACCGCAAACACTACCTTTTGTAAGTTTTTCTAGAAATGGTGGCTTACTAAATACAGGATAAATAGATTCTTACATAAATCTATGACAGTAAAACCTCGCCATCTTCCTCGCTTTTCATAGTACCTATATAAGATAGATATATCATTCAATTAAGGCGTGACATTACACTTTAAAGCATATATTACCTATCCCTTAATTTAGTTCACTGAGCTAAGAATGCGATGTCATTCAACCTGAGATTACTTTGGGGTACTTTATGTCAATAGATTTCCATTACGTTGGTACAATAATTTATTTATGAATAGGTACGCTGAAATCAGTTAAACAGTTAATTACGAGATATTATTATTAAACATTTATTATTATTTTGTTATCGAGTTCTTTGGTTATATTGCTAGAAGTTGTGGTCACAAACTCGTACAACTGATGTGATGGTAACAGATAAAGTAGAATGCCCTATTTGGTCGTAACCTAATGAGATGGTTTGATCACATCCGCTTATCTCTAGACATTAAACTCCACAATCTGATTCATCATAGCGGCATGTTTCCGGGAAACCAACCTGTGGACAAACGGATAGAGAGATTCCCAATTTATACGCTTTGGATAGATACGTTTGAACAAGACATTTAACTAGCTCTGAATCTCTCTTACTCATGAAAAAGCTCTTAAAATAAATGCAATTGAACTCACATATTATTATATGAACATTTTATCCCAAAAGCAATCATTTACCGAAATATGATATCATCAAAATAAGAAAAAGTATTTGCGCTTCAGATCACGCTTGTAACGCTAAAAGGGATACCAAGATATACCCATGCAAGAACTTTCCTATAAGAAACGATAAAATTCGATTTGAAATGAAACGGCCCGGTTATTGCATATCCAGTATGAGGGGCCAGCACTTCACCCTGTGAACGTATGTAGGTTTGCCATGACAAATCAAATGCATGGACGAAAAATATTTAAATCTCTGATAAATAAGATATATATGGAGTGAATAAGAAATGTAATAATGTTCTTCTTATTTCAAAGTTAAGTAAGTAAAGTGCAGTATTGCATACAGCAGTCGCTTTTCAAGCATTTTAAGAGTCTGTGGTAGTTAGTAACAGCCACCTTACTGAAGACCATAATAAAATAACACCTCCAACTCGAGATTTTTTATGTCCGTCAATGAGTAAGAATCCGGAGCTATAGGGAAGATTTAATTTAGTCCGGCAAAGCCCGGCTGGAGCCGCACTTTTTTCTTCCCCGTTTTTCTTGACATAATGTTGGATAGGGTAATTTGCTGTGGCTAATTTATAAAAAAAGGTATCTCGCTCTTTTCAGGTTTTTCTCGTTACGAAAACGAAATTACGCAGTTTTTATTTAATATTTCTTTACTTGTATTATATGGCGGTGCCTTTTGTCAGCGGGTAAAATATAGATTTTGAAATATGATGTGGAAATGGAGCATCAACGGTCATAAATTTTAATTTCGTTGACTGACTAAGATGTTTGATTTCTTCACCGCTCCAAACCAAGCGATTGCAGACCTAAGAATGTCAATAATATTAATTTCAACTTATTTTAACTCTACTTGTTCCTAAGAAAAGGGATCTTGACAATCCGGAGAGATACTAATTGATCCTATTTAGGTTCCGGTTTTTTAAATATACGGAACCTTAAATATATAAACAATAAAAAAATATAAATAAATATATGATTTAAACAAATAAAAAAATGACCTTAAGACGTCATTAAATCGCGTGTTTTCTATTAATTTGGATAAGGCGGAGAGAGACCAGTCTCACTCGAACCGAATGCATGGAAACCACAGCTTTTACGTTTCTTTGTAATTTATTACGGTGAGCTCACTCCTGAGCGCATTTTTCATTGCTCCATTCCACCGGCGGCGGCCGCCCGCCCAATCATTGTCCTCACAGTACATTTTATACGAGAGCACTAAATGCCAATTTTGTAACGGACTCAAAGAAAACATAAATAATTCAGTACTGGGCCGAGGGGAAACCGAATTCATTCAATAAGGAAACCTGGTCCAGGCCACAATTTCGGATTTATAGAGTACAGTACATCACCGACTTTGAAAAATACTCAAGTTTATCGGAAATCCCAAAGAAAAGTGGAATGCAATTGGCGAAATCACTCTCAAAGTGAAAAGGCAAATATAAGAGAAAGTTATAAGCAGTATATGGGTAATGTAATTACCCTAAAAGGATGACTCAGGCTTCGTGACATAGTTTCTAACAATAAAAAATGTCGGGAGCCTGACAAAAGACAAATTAAGTGCGACTAAAATGTTTCTTTGTTGAAGTTTTCTTTGGAGTAAATCTGTTTGTAAAAATGATTTATCCATACGAAATTGGGGCACTCAAACGCTCCTACTAAATTGGTTACCGACATCTCACTCCCGACATCACGCGTGAAATACGCGGAAAATTCGATTGTGAAAGTCGTCTGCGTGTGTAGAAATAATATATCGTTGGTGTGTAGGCAGTAATTCATTATTGCTATATTGTAAAGTAATTAATTATTGGTGTATAATACAAAATAGGAACATTCACGATGGAAAAATATTTTTGATCAGTTTTATCACATGTATCAATCTAATCTACATATCTAAGTATTAGCATTTTTAAACGAACGAGAGAGAGACTCAAAGATAGAATTTCCATATTTCCACTAAAATAGACCGTAAAAGTTTGCATGAAATTTCTTACTATTAAAGATAGAAATCTATGTCAGAGTTACCCATGGAAGTAATACGGTTACAATTCTCTTGCTATATATATTTTGTATTGACGAAGTACATACATGGACAAACATGTAGTATGTATGGGGATGATGAAGTCAATTTTCACATTTCATCTTCAAAATGATAGAAAAATTAAATTAATAAATTTTATTATATATAAAATAAAAAAAAAATGACAAACTTTTTATGGCTGGTAGTTACTGTTTACTGTTAAATTTATTTTTGGAAAAACAGATTTTTTTTTAGATAGTTTAATTACAACTTCAGCTCCTTATATGTTACAAAGGGAGACGAAAGTAGCCCACGCGAGTAATTACTAGTGGCTAATAAGCATAAGTCATGATTCTCTCTGAATGGAGACCACATATAAGCTTAGGTACCTACAACAAAACTATAACACCACTATTTATTTTATAATACAAGTTAAGTAAAAAATTATTTCTTGTTTCTTCTTCTTTATTTCTTAATTAATTAAATTCTTACATAGTTACATTACATTGGCGCGCAGTAACTTTTTTAATGCAGTTGGCTGTATTGGGCGCGTTAGACTAAAGCCGCTGTACTGCCAATCATATTTTTTTAAATAAATTTAATATTTTAGTGGATTTAAATTGAAATTGGTGTTAATTATATGTCAATTCTAAATAATTGGCTAAAATAAAAGGTTTCTAATTGCTGAAACCACTTAATTAACACGAAGGTTTTAAGAATTTAAGTTATAAATTCTCTTTGATGACGGACTTAGTAGTAACATTTTAATCTTTAACTTACAAATTGTACTAGAAACCTCAATATCATTTTTGAAGACCTATCCATAGATACCCCACACGTATAGGTTTGATGAACAGACAGACAGACATGACGAATCCATAAGGGTTCCGATTTTTGCCATTTGGCTACGGAACCCTAAAAACTATATATAAATAAATCATTATAGTAAATAATCAAAAAATCACCTACTATACAATAAATGAACTGACTAACTATGAATACATATTTAACAAGAATAATACTAACCAACATTGTGAGTTATATGATACCTGCCTGGGGCCGCTTTGGCTCAATTTGCACAGAATTTCAGTGGGTCGCTGACGGAATTTTCTTTAAAACGCTTTCTCTAGTAATCTTATATTATTAATTGATGACGAGTCGCCTCTCAGGGTTAATTAAATTGCACGGATCGAAGTATGCGAACCGGAATGTGCCTTTATGGTAAAGGTTTGGAAATGGTATATGTCAATAAAAAAGGTCTAAATAAATAAATTACTTTACTGAGGTTAATGGAAAAAGGTCTTAGAGAACGCGTAGACATGTGTTATTTAATAGAAAAATATACTCCGTCAAAAATCCTGATGATAGATTTTCACCCGATTTCTCATGTATTGTCATTGCTCTCCAGTCAAGCTTAGTGATATTTAGATGATTATATTTAAGTACAGCCTGTAAACAATATATAGGCAGATAACTTTGCGGCAGTGAAACTAGCTTAGCTTCCATTAACATACCTTACCCCCTACAGTACGTGTTTCGGAGTAAAGGACTTTAGCGTGCGTTTCACTACGGATGGAATTTTTTGAAAACATATTGAGAAGACTACATTGTTGTATGCGATAATAGAGACATTCCAAACAAGCAATTATACTCACGGTCGGATTACGTGCATATGCTGTATCGAAGCTGAAGGCCGCGAGGGTCGCCTTATCGGAGGTAAAGGCGGGTGGTGCGAGGGCGCTCCTACCGTTGGCCCGTACAACACCGGCTGCAGAGACAACGACCCACCCAGCGATATTGAGTGTGGACTTGGCACCCTGTTGAAAATTTAAAAATAATGTTAATGAAAAAAAGAGTTAAGGCACAGTTCCGACGGGCGGCAGACTGCATCCGCAGGCGACACTGCCTGGGGTCGTAGTTGTTTTTCCAAGCACGGCGACATGCCGCGACTGCACAATACATAGAACCATGCCTCGAGTCGCTCCAGTTTGCGCTGTGGTCGCTACGCACCGCGACTGCTCTGGCCGCAGTGTCGCCGTGTTCGAAATAAAGGACAATGTTGAATTTTGCCTAAGAACCAACACCAATTTGGCATTTATGATAATTCTTAGTATATTTTTTGCGATAATTATCATCATAATTATCAATCAATAAACATTATCATAATTATAGATTGTGACGGACACTTCCAGTTAAGTAAGCTATATTAAAAAGTTAAAAAATAATCTGAGTATACCATTTTATGTTTATAATCTATGACAGCGCTGCAAACAAAACACTTTCTTCCTAATGCCGACACTTCACTTGTCTATACGTGTTTGCTTTTTGAAAACTTGACATCAGTTTGTCCTTTTTATTCCATATTAAGCATGACAAGGACAGACTGTTGTCAAGTGAAGGGCCGGCATAAAACTCGATACTCTGTCTGTGATTGTGGTGCAGGCAGTTTGCATTCGTAGTAATCTATGGCATTCGTGCATTCTCGTTTCGGATTACCTGTTGTGTGTGTTTATTTGCGATTGTTTTTCCTTTAACTTAACTATTTCGGCTATATAATATGCCATCGATGTTACCAAATAGCAGAGACCTTATTACCAAGTGCTAGAGAACCTGTATAACAATGTACTCTATGGAACCTGTACAACAACATCCTGAGAGGATCATACTGCCAAATTATTCAAGAGCAGCTGATACACATTCACACTGCATATTTACACAATAGACATGTGATATATACAAATAAATACAATTTACAATATGATACAATTATGTGAAAAATAGTCAAAAAATAAGAAGAAAAACTACAGTTTTTATTTTATTAATGATTCCTACCTAACCAAGTTTTTCCTAATAGTTATTCTTTAAAATCGCACCGAATAAAAATGAATTAGTTGTGATATTAATTCAGTTCATACTGAGTTCATGCTAAGTTCATAGGTTGAGCTATGTTTCATTTAATATTACAGATAACCTCAAAAAATCTTTAGTTTTCCTGATAATTTAAGTTCTCAGAAGTGTCCGTCAATAATCTTTGTTTTTACAATCATTTGCTTGCAATTTCTAACCTAGAAAATAATATTTCATGATTGTTGGTTCATAGGCTAACAATGTATGGACGCAGAACAATGTCCTCTCATAGAGATTAATTGAAGCAAGTAGTGTCGCTGCATTTTGCGGTCTGCAGCCCGGCTAGGAATGGCACCTTTAAGGTGGTGTGCGATCTTGGAAGTTAAGCAACTGTCGCAATGGTTGGTCATTAGATGGTTGACCAGAAATGTGTTATCTTGAGCTTCTCAGTGCTTCGGAAAGTGTTCGATAGCGCAATTCGGTGTAGAAGTTAAGCAACTTTTGCACGATAAGCCGATGGTCCCGGCTGCTATAGGCTATCTGCAGTCGAGAGCACTCACAAAGACCGCGTAATGGATAGGGTGATGGCGATGAATAAATTAAATGAAAACGTACTTAGTGGAGATATACAGTCTAGGTGGCTAGATAATAGGGAATATGCATGTTTTTTTAATATTTTTATTTGGTAGTTTACATCTCCATTTTACAGTATAAAAAAAATCCTTGTCGAAAAAATAGTATAGAGAATCTAAAAAAAATTTAAAATTATCTACTTTGCACGAGCAGTTTAAACGCGCGCTATTTTAGAACGCTTGAATGTGATGTCACGATACCATCTAAACCTACAAACAAGATCAATAACCTAACAAGATACTGTCATTTTGCGTTCCATATCGTTACTGCGGATGGATGTCGGCACATATGTCAATCAAGTAGACATTATGTGTCATACTTTATTGGTAAAAATTAAATTTCATAGTGAAAAGTTGCATTCGGGTGGATTTACGCACCCGCACTATAATCTTGTTGACATTGACATATCCTGTGAACATCGCGTATGTTATATTTTTAGGCCACAAGCCACAAACCACAACCTCTCTTTTCGCGTTTCAAAATAATTGAATTTCGCTCAAGTATTTCGCACTTTTTTAACATTAATTTCTTGCTCGAAAATAAATTTTATAAAAATATTGATGGGACAACTTAAATATAATAGAGTTTATATAAAAATAAAAAGAGGCTTATTTGAATTTCATACATATGGACTGAACTGTTGACTAATTGTTTTCTTGACAATTGACATTAACTGTATTCAGCAGGATTTAATTAGTGTCACATTTTCGACATGGCATAATATAAAATAGAATTTCAATAACGATGTGTTATAATAGGACATCTCGTGTTTCGTTATTAATTCAAAGGACATAAGGATACGTTACTTCAATCTTTCTTTCATAATTTTGTTACTTTCAAAATAGCACATAGGCGTAACTTGTCCTCTTCGCCTATTACCAAGTGGGCATATTTTAGATAATAAATCCATGATCTTCAAATTTCAAATCTCAATTATCTTCCCTAATCCGCAACGTATCTATATAAATATAAACAGTACATTTACGCTTCAGTAAAACCGTCAATTTCACGTTAATCCCTCTAGATCAATTGGCGTTTTCCGAACGGGGACGTCGGCATTTTTGATTGAACAGTTAGTAGAGGCACGTATTGTGTCAATCGTTTCGTATCGCGCTTTATGGACGCGAGCCCCCGTAGCTATTTTTAAATTCCTCGCCCGGTCCGTCCCCAACAAAGGCACTTACAAATCGCAATTCGCTTTCACGGTTCTCCCGTTGCCTTCAAAGTTCATTTACTGTATTTGTCAGTGAGTTTGAACAAGAAAATTGCCACATTGAATTCCTGGGGAGTTTTATTTCGCTACGCCAAGCGCCGCGACGCAACGTAACGCAATATAAGGTTATTTACGACGGGCCTCACGGAACCAGCAAGTTGAATTTTATAGCGTCCTTTTATCGTGTTCCCCATTCTTATTTTATTTAGAAATAAAAAAAATCCTACTCAAACTCAAAATGATTTATTCAGTTTAGGCTGTAACAAGCACTCATAAATGTCTAGAAACTACGCCATCGGTTCGTAAATCTACGGGAAACCTTATACGAAACTCAGCAAGGGCTGTCTTATTCTCCCTGTATTATTATTTACTAATATCATAAAAATAAAAGTTTAGATGTTTATTTTCTGAACAGTTTTGGATGGATTTTGACTTGACTTAATTTATCAACTGGATTGAGACATAGAATACTTTTCATCCCAGAAAAATGTTAGGTTCACGTGGGATTTTCGAAAAACCAAATTTGACGCGAATGGACTACATAAATTGAGAAGTTGAAGAATTCCAAACTTTTGATACTTATAAATAGACGCCCAATCAAAATAATATCTCCAACTCCAACTCCAAATTTAGATCACAGAGAATGAAGATTGCTCGTTTCAATAAGAAGTTGGGATGGCCCCCCCAGATAATAAGATTTTAGACCAATAAATGCAAAATGATTTTGTAAGAAACTAGTGGCCCGCCGTCGCTTTGCTTCGGTGTAGAGCTGTAGTGTAGACTATAGTTTTTGTTCAAAGGCTTGTATTATACACAATGACCTTCTTCATAATAATTATAAACCTTCCATTCCAAGTAAAAAAAAAATGTTGCATAGTTTAGGATCCGTTGTACCGAATGCAACATCGCTCAAAAATTCTTATTGTATTGGACAGTGCACAGTAGCAGCTAAGCATCGATGAAAAATGTTGCAAAAACGGGTAAAAATAATCCATTTGTGAGATTCCGTTGCGTGCGCTGGGTTAACGGTTAAAGTTACACAAAAATCATGTATGACGGAATTCTTTCCCTCTAAAAGTTCTGTAAAAAGCCCTCGACATAAACCTTTTTCTTCAAATTAACGCAGGTGAAATCGCAGGGGACCTCTAGTTGTGACTTAACTCTAATAGTTACACATATGGTATCGCGGACTTTTTTGTAGATATTGGTATAGAGGATACTCTATAAAACTTTAGTACATCACTTTGCTCTGTTGTCAATGACTTCCGCAGCGTTCGCGATATAAGAAGTTACATTATCGAAGTTTTCCAAACTTTTTTGAAAATACACTATAGCCTATATTAATCAGTGATAATGTAGGGATCAAATGGTAAATGAATTTTCAAAATCGGTCCAGTACTTTTTGAGCCAATTCGTTACAAACATACTTACATACAAACCTTTCCTCTTTATATTACTAAAATATAAATATCACCGTTGCCCAAAAGTTATGTTCTTGTTCAATAATATCGGATTGAAAGAAAGAAAAATCTTTTTGACGTATTCTCTAAAATTGACATAAACTGAACGGATCTCCGAATTAACAAGGGATTCCTTTTATGATTGTGGCACTTAATTAGGTATAAGTACATAACCTGCCCTTTTCTTATTTCAAGTTATATCACGATACTTTACTAATTGACATTTGCTGGATTTTTTATTAATAGAAAAGCAAACAATGACTCAGTCCCGACGGACAGCAAGAGTAATCCTGAGAAAACTCCTTCACTATTTCATTTGAAAAAACCTAAGTATACAAACGCACTTGCAACTCACTTGAAATAAAATACACAATCCAATGAAACTTAAGATATTTAGAAAGATGACTTCCTTTTGCCACGTAACGTTTGAGCTGTGGAATCTGCAGTGTTATTCTGAAAGAACAAACTCACTTTTCACCTCGGAACTCGCCGCCGGTGTGATTTGAAATTTATTTCAAACTAGCTACCCGAGGTTAATAGGGATATTTTCCCGCAGTAAAACGTAGCCTAAGTGGTAATGTAGGCTGTCAGCTAACTCCATTACCAAATTTTATTAAAATCGCTTCAGCCGTTTAGACGTGAAGAAGTAACAAACATACCACTCACACACTCACAAACTTTCGCCTTTATAATATTAGTGTGATTCTTGTTCTAAATTTAAATCACTCTGCGGATTCCGAGTTGAAAAGTTTCTTTATTCTTACAGAATATAACTGCAGATTCCGCAGCTCAAACGTTACGTGGTATAAAACCAGAGTTATCGACATAGCCCACCGGATTAGCAAGTTGAAGTGGCAGTGGGCTGGCCATATTTGTCAAAGAACCGATAACCGTTGGGGTAGACGAGTTCTGGAGTGGAGTCTAGGCAAACGTAGTGTAGGACGTCCTCAGGCGCGATGGAGTGACGATTTGCGCAAGGTGGCTGCCAGGAGCTGGATGCGAGTAGCCCAAGATCGATCTGAGTGGCGTGTATTTGGAGAGGCCTATGTCCAGCAGTGGACTAAGATAGGCTGTTGATGATGATGATGAAACTTACAAAGAAGTGTTATATATATATTTTTTGAAATTTGATCTCTACGACGACGAATACCCCTGACCAAGTAGAATTCAGATATTCGACCTGTTTTCAGCAGATTTGCTTTGACTTGTTATTAATTAAATACTCTTAAAGCTTAAACTTCACATGACATGTGAATGACAACTGGGCATAATGTTAGAGCAGTCTTTAGTTTACCGAATATACAGGTTGGTCCAACTAGTGACGTCAACAATTTTTTTTTAGATTCCTCGCACCTGGAGGTATCCGAAAATACCCCATGTATGTTCCGCGATTTTACTTAGTTTTCGAGTAATTTTTTTTTGTGTATTTTTAATGATTTTTCTTTCGTAGTAGGTATTTTGCAGTCTTTTTTTGTGACATAATTGTCTTGAATTATGTTTTAATAAAAAAAACTCAGCTTCCTAAAATTACTTAAAGTTACTTAAAAAAAGCTTGAAAGTTCCAACTTTAGTTTTTAGTAGGATTTACTCAAACATTCAACTTCAATTTAAAAATACAAAAAGGAGTTTCCATAGCTTCTGGTTAAGTTTAAAAACTCCGCATGCTTCTGAACTACCAAAAAACATAAAAAAAAATAGTACTAAAACAGGCTATTTTTGTTATAATTGGCCTTCGAAGGCGGATAGGCTAAAAATCATTGAAACATGATTAAAGCATTTAAAATTATTTTATCTACTTTTTATCATTATTATGGTAAATTAAACTTGAAAATGTAATTTCAAATTAAATGAAATTCCTGTAAAATAATTTTAGCGTGTGTAATTTTACAATAATTTCGGTTTCATCACTATTCTCAAAGGTCCGTCAGGACTGTAAGTGCGAGTGAGCACCTCCTTATTATAAAAGAGTATTGCACCTTGCAGAATACCCTGATGGCTGGACGTATCCCCGAGCGAAATCAATCTCGCGGAACTTTACCCCAGGATGCGGATCAAGTGGAAGCAGTCTTGGAAGAAATTCAAAGAGACTCGTCTACAAGTTCCGAGTATTTGAACACCACATATCCCGAAAGATGGATCGGGCGTGCAGAGCCGATCGAATGGCCTGCGCGTTCGCCAGACTTCAACCCCATCGATTTTTTTATTTGGGGATTTTACAAAGAGCTTGTATACGCGACGGAAAGCAACAGCGAACAAGAATTGAGACAAAAACTTACAGAATGGGAAAGAAAAATAAAGCAAGAATATTAAAGTAGCTTTACACAATTAAAACATAACTTTTTAAGACGTTGTCAATTGTTTATTCAGATTGGAGGAAGGAGTTTTGAAAATTTACTGTAATAAATAGTAATTTTTCAGTAACTTGTGCTTTATATTTGTTACCAAAAAACAAGTAATTTCCCAACTAGCCATTTTGATTTTTATTCTTGAGAAAGATTTTAGATGAAACCGAAATTATTATAAAATTACACATGCTTAAGTTATTTACACGAATTTCAATTAAATTTAATTTGAAATTACATTTTTAACTTTAATTTACCATAACAATGGTAAAAACTAATAATTTTAAATGCTTTAATCGTGTTTCAATGATTTTTAGCCTGTCCCCCTTCGAAGGCCAATTACAACAAAAATAGGCTGATTAAGTACTTTTTTTTGGTAGTTTAGAAGCACGCGGAAATTTTAAACTTAACCAGAAGCTGTGGAAACTACTTTTTGTATTTTTAAATTGAAGTTCAATGGTTATCCTACATCCTACTAAAAACTAAAGTTCCAACTTTCAAGCCTTTTTTGAGTAACTTTAAGTGATTTCAGGAAGCTGAGTTATTCTTTTTATTAAACAACATTCAAGCCAATTATGTCACAAAATAAAGACTGCAAAATACCTACTACAAAAAAGATATGAAATTTTGAAACCTCGCTGGCAGAAATCATTAAAAATACGCAAAAAAAATATAATTCTAAAACTAAGAAAAATCGCGGAACATACATGGGGTATTTCCGGATACCCCCAGGTGCGAGGAATCTAAAAAAAAATTGTTGACGTCACTAGTTGGACCACCCTGTATATCTATGTCTTCTTCTATATCTATACTTATATATCTGTCTATTATTTACTATCTGTACTATATACTATTACGAGTATATAAAGAGAGAAGAGAATACACTGACTGACTCATCTTGACCCATTTTAAAAATTCTTTCACTAATAGAAAGTTTTATTCTGAAGGATCGCAATAGTTGTTTTATTGCATTTTGTCAACAATTCTACGGGAATGGAGACTACGGGTGTCAAATCCTGTTTCTTAAATCACTTAACTGATTTTCAAAACGAAATCTTCAATGTTTGAAATTGGAGAATAATAAGTGCAACTTGTGTTCTGTTAATTCCACGGACACGGGATCTCCAGGGGTAAAATTCTATTTTTCAACTTATTGACCGATTTCGAAACCAATTTTACTAGATCGTACCTACGTAATATAACGTAAATAAAATACACCCGTGTGAAGCCAGGATGGATCGCTAGTGGGCATTGATAAACAATTGCCTTTTACTAAACATACCGCATAGGAGACTCCTCCATGTGCACGCGGTGCGAGGAACACGACGGCGCTGGTTGTTGGTGGGATGGGTGGGCGGGCAGCGGCGGGGGGCTGCTGTGGCGGCTCAGAGTCTCCGGGGACACCAGCGCGGCGCCCGCGGATGCCGGGCTCGGCAGCGGGGGGGCGCTCCCGCCTGATATCTCGGACTCCGCCCCACCAAATGTCGCCCGGGAAACGTGCGAGCCACCCGACATGTTGTTCGCCGGTATAGAGTAGCAACTGCAACAAGAACGAAAGTTTAATACGGCATCTTTTTACTTTCTGCACTGATTGAGAAACAATTGAGCATTAGTAAAAAATCTATTTTTCTTTTCTCATCTTTGTTTTCATATTTCAATTCGCGTGGCTAAAATTTCCTTTTTCCTCGTTAATATTAGCAGTATGTGAAATGACTTTATCTTTAAGGACCACTCGATTATCTGTCAGTCACAGTAGATTTTCTCGAAATCTCCTGAACCAATCAACTTGAAATTAGGTACATACATGTATTTCTGTGACCCAAACACGAACGAATGAAGTAAATATATAAATTCCAAATATTTAACTGTGTTACATGTATATTAAACGAAAGGGCTGAATGTAAGGTTTTTTTTTAACTAATGTAAAATAAAACGTTTACAAATTATTATGCATGTAGATTACAGGAAATCCTATAAGAAGTTAATAGTATGTATAATGAAACCCTGCACTACGTGCGCGAGTCCGACTCGTACTCGGCCGGTTTTTCATCTTACTTCGGCAGTACGGTACCCCTAGCACGAACCAATATCGAATTCGTATCGTTTGCGAATACGAAATGTCATTGTCAAATGTGTACTAATTTTTAATTTCTCGTTACGTACGTTGTGGCGTTCAAGTTTCCATACAAAATTTGACAATGACATTTCGGACTCGCAAACTATTCGTATTCGATAATAGTTTGTGCTAAGGTTACGGCACTCACATGGACATGGCATGTTAGTATTTGACAGCAAAGAAATGCTTCACTGATTTTATTTCTACGCATTGCTAGTAAAATAATAATTAGTAAAAGGTATTTCGATCAGAAATTGCGAAATGCAACAAAACATAAAAATACAAGGCATGGGTTATTTATAAGGAATCCACGAGCGAGTACTAAAATTTCTTGGCGTAATATACGATTGGGGTAGTATAATCCATTACGTTCGTGGTTCGACATTCGAGAAAACCCTCGAGCTCGAATGAAAGAAAAAGAGGAAGAAATAAAATTGATAGATGCTTACCCCGCAATTCGTTGATCGTGCCGAGTTTTAGAATCGACTTGTTGAAGTCACAAAATTAAGTCACAACTAAATCAGGTATCATGCCATATTCATTCATCCAATCCTGAGAGTAAAAGGTTTTGAGACAATTATGATTTTTAATTCATTGTAGGAAATATGGTTACATACAGTTAAATATGACTTATTTCAATTCTGCATCTCGAACCTTACTTCTTTAAGAATGAGTAATAATCTCCGGATTTTCATAACCGATAAAATCTTGAAGCATCCATGTGGACGCTCTAATGGGCTGAACTATTATCTATTAGCTCTATTATCTTAGAGTGAAAATTTGATGGCTTAAATAATAAAATATAAATATTTATTGACACGGTAAACCTTTTCCTTTATTCGCAATAGGCAAGACGTGGCCCAGTTTTAAATTTTCAGCAGTTCTGCATAGACTTTCCTCATACTTAGACCTGTAATATCTGCTAGGAATGAATTTGGAAGCCCGCCGAAACATTCGCTCAGCCGCCAACAAATTTCCTTTCTTTACTTCATCACCTTTGTCTTAAGTGATCCATAAAACAAATGAGTTTCTATCGAGCAAATTAAGCGTCTCATCTAAATCCAAAGACAGTTTCCGAGAGCGGGCGCGTTCGCAAATCGAATAATAAAGCTTCGAATCTGTATCCGCATTCCGGCTCGAATATGGCAGCTTTCGATTTCCGGGCCCGTCTCTCCTGTAAATGGTTTACTACAGATTACATGGAGAGAACGTTTATTTTAATCAGGGCACCTCGACGCGCCTCCTGCGCACATATCAATGGATTAAAAACGTTCGATTCGGACATACATAGGCATTACCGATAAACGCTTCTGTTTGTTTTCGGTACAGCGTCCGCTTGTGCTTTGTTTATTTTATCTAGGCACTTTTGTTTGCATCATGTGTAATAGAGATTTTATTGGATTCTTTAGATCTTCCGTTTATATTTGGATTAAACTAAAATGCATACTCGTGAGGAAAAAGCATGTTTTTTTTGTATACACTGAGAAAGTATGTTTTAATGCTGAGTTTTTTAAACTTACGACAAGAACTTTCTCAATGAGCCATTTATTTATCTCTATATGGCGGCTACTAATTTAACGTTGGTTAGCTATAGCATAACTGAAACTAGACTTAAAACTATTCTTTATAAAGATACAGCAACAGTTCCAATGAGTATAATTTTAGTAATTTTTAAATAAAGAAACCGATATCCGCAGCTATGGTTAAGAGAAGAATAATTTTACATCAACTTATTTCAAAATTTCATAATAGGAGATTAACTTAAGTAGGTAAGAAGTTTTAAAAAGTCTGAGTTTATAATTAATGCCTTTGAAAACTCTATGGTTAAACTTACTCCAGATTTTAATTAAGCCGACACACCTCTACCCTTGTTGACCTAAAAACCGAAAGCCCCTGGTTCAGGTCATAACAACATTAATTATACAAACACAGTCATTCGCCTTTTAAGTACCATCCTTAACGGAATTTGGGTCGATAATTTTGTTTATGACATGTGGGTTTTGTACTTCCCTTTATAAGATTAATTAATACATAATTATATTTGTTTATTACGTAGGCATATTATATTATGTTTGTACATGTTATAACATGTAGCGATGCGATAATTTGCAGCGTTCGGTGTGGGCGCTAATAACTTCGACAGTCTTTGACTGTACAATTATCTTTTTGTATGCCTGTTTTTAATGTCCCGAATAAATTAATCACAGAAAATGAAGATTTTTTTTTAAAGTGTTATTTTAATAAATAACGCTTTTGTTTCATGTAACAATATATACATGTCCACAATCGCATTCAACCAAATGTAAGCTACACAAATTACGTGTTACAAAAATTAACTCAACTCGAAGAATTGCGTTAAGCCACCTTATTAATTTATTTGGTGTCTTCTCATGCGAATTATAATGTAGACAACCTTTGGTCATATTATTTCAGACATTACAGAAATCCTTTTAACTTTCCAAATCAAATCACCTCAGACGCAAAACAAGATAGAGTTAAATTTGGATTCAACAATGTCACGATTTTGAATAAATTATAAATACGGTGCCAATAATATGACTGTAGGTTCTACCCAACAAGATGAGAGTACAGGTTATTTCCTAAATATTAATTGAGATGGAATCTTATTTAATATTTAATCCACAAAGTACAGACGAAAATTCATTACACATTTTGGTAGATTTTGCAATATCATAACAATTTATCCATTAAGGTTTCTTAGGACAAGAAATTTTACCTCGAAATACGAGCAAAATTATAAAGATAAAAGCTCTAACAGCCGACTACAAACGTGTTTATTTCTTTAAAAGATCTCTAGAAAAGGTGTGATTTATATTCATATAAATCACACCTTTTTTAGAGATATAGTAACTAGTGGATTTGGTGGCCCACGATTTCGTCTGCGTAGAAAAGTTGGTTTCCCACTTTCACCCCTTTAAAAGATGATTTTTAGGATAAAAACTATCTTATGTCCTTATCTCTTATCTCTCAAATTTCATCTAAATCGGTTTAGTGGTTCAAGCGCAAAGAGGTAACAGACAGACATATAGACACACTTTCGCATTTGTAATATTAGTTTGGATATGAATAGTATAGAAAATCGATAACCTTAAAAAAATAGGATTTTAATTATCATGTTAAATCTTTTTGTCATGTTGGTAAGTTTTCAGACAGAAAACATCAATTATGTCGCTAATTATATTTTAGTAATCTATGTTGAATGTTGAAATCCGATCTGTTAATTGTTTCAGCTTCTTTGATTACTCAAGCAAAACTCCGCAAAAACCTCACACAAACTTTGCATTTATAATATAAGAAAGCATATATTATGTTTTTTGGAACGGGCGAGAAATCAATCACTCATACTGTGAATTTCTATAACCGTAAACGGGTTTGCTTGCTAAGAGATAATTTTATACCTACGTAGCGCGAGATACCATCAAGAGCATCTCGCACTAATGGCTCGGAACATTAGCGGAATATCATAGTTCCGTGCTCACAGGACCACCCATATAAATGACTGTACTGACACCTTCTAATTTATCATCTATCCGTTTTAATAATTCTGTATAAACTATGCAATCGAAAGAATCGTATTAACGTTTTTAATTGCCGGATTTTTTCATCTTACTTTAAATTTCCTGTAATTTTCTTCCTTGTCTTTTCTTTTTTCAGAAGTTCTTATACTCTATTGTAATGACTTTATTAAACTTAATAAATTTTTCGTAGACAGTGAAATGAAAAAGATTTGCTACAAATTGGCCGTTTTCTCTCAATTTCTTGCTTTAATCTCATCAGTTATTCGCAGTGTGAAGTCTGGCCGGCCTTTAACCTCGACCTTTTTCATTTTCATCACCAGTTATCAGCTTCTTCTAAAATGGTTCGGTTTCATTACATCGTAATAAAGAATCACAAATGAGTACACGGTTCATTAGGTTTCTTTCAGTGAGCTCGTGAGGCACCCAAATATCGATCTTTTTTGTGTACCCAGCTTTTTTCAAATGCGCCAAAACTGTTTTGTGGTCAATTCCCAGTTCTTCAGCCAGGTCGTAACTACTGATATGCCGTTCTGGCTCCAGTTTTTCAAAAATGGCATCAATTTTATCCGTAACGGGTGACCAGAGTGACGTGCATCTTTGACATCAAATTTTTTTAAGGTTTGATAACGCTTAAACCAAATTTGTGCTGCTCCCACAGACACTGCACTAGGTTCATAACCTTACCAAAGTTTTTTCGCAGCTTTTGTTGCATTTTTACCTTTTTTGTAATAAAAATTTAAAATATATCGATTTTTTCGTTAGATTCACTCATCTTGACAGTAAGAGAAACATATGATAATCACAATTTTTTATAATTTGAAATTATCTTCTTTAAAATTTAAACTTTTAATGATACCAAAACCAGCCAGATACAAATGGTATAGT